CCCCCCCCCCCCCCTCCGTTTCTTTTCACAGGACCTATCATCACCATTCCTAGCTTCTATTTATAGGACACTACTCCCCCCCCCGCCCCCGGTGTTTGTGTGTGTTTAAGGTGAACCTTTATAAAGTTCTTCCTCTCACTCTTAATCTCAACATGGTGCGATTCATAGAACTGAAGATGTGTGTGTGTGTGGCGAGTGCTGAATGAGTTTGATTTATCTTCTGTGTGTGTGTGTGTGTGTGGGGGGGGGGGGGGCAGCTAAACCACATAGGTCTGAGAACATATGTATGTTACATAAATAACATATATGAGAAGAACATATAAGTCATTCTTGGAACGTGTGTATTTATTGCAGTGATTGTGTCTGTTCTTGTGCACGTGTTAATTGTAATGGTTAAGACTGAATTTACTGAGATTATGGTTGCACACACACACACACACACACACACACACACACACACACACACAGTTTGATTCTGTGTTACAAGTGCGCTGCAGAGGCCTGACCCTCCTGATGGAAAGCTGTGGATATTGATTTAAGCTCTAAAAGAGTTACATTTTCTGTCTCGTGGTCTGATCAGCAGCTGACAACTACCGTCCTCACGTTTTAAACTACCAGTGAAGTCTCTGACACTTTTAACGCCTCCACGTTGGCAAAAAAAAACTTAAATTAATATCTATAAACTACGTCAGTTAAAACACTACATCTCCAAATAATCCCAGTCAGTTCCAGTGCTCTGGTCTAAATTAACTGAATTTTTGACACAACTTAAATAATACGTTTTCAGGGCTTTTAATGACATCTTTAACATTATTAATTATTATCATTATTTTTGTTTCTTGTATAAAAACAAGTATTTCTACTATGTCTACTTTAAGTTCTACAAAAACCTCCTTTATGCCATGCAAGTTAGCAAACTCTGATTACAGTTTTTAATGAAACAATCCAATTTAAGCATTTTGTGCAGGAAAACTCATAATTTACAAACGTCTTGAGGAATAAGAGTCACAAATTCTGTCCTCTCCATATTCATGGTTACATCTGCAAACCTTGTTTTTTGAACATCTTTGCATTATGCAGCCACATATCATCACACTCACACCACCGTGCTTCACTGTTGCAACTACGCCTTTACTGTGGTGGTCCTATGATGAAACCATGCTTGTTTGCTCCAAACCAGCCGTCTGAGGCCAACAGGTTTGCTTTAGTCTCATCTGAACAAAGTAACTGTCAGTTTCCTCCTCGTCTTCTTACGTTGCCGTTCCAACTTTACTTCTTGGAAGCTGTCTAAAGACGGACATCTAGCATAAAGTCTGATTTTTTATCATAATCTTTGTGCAAATTCTGAAAAATAGTATTTATCAGCTAAAACTAAACAATCTTGAAGCCCCAACAAGGATTGCTTTAAACTGATTTAACACTTTGTACTGTAACAATGTGTTAGTCTCTGCGCTGCTTCAAGAATAAAAAAAAAAATCAGTTCTTTTTGATGTCAAATTGAAAAACTTTGACCACTTCCTGTTTGTACAACCTCACAGCCACAGCTGCAACAACAAAGTCACAATCATATTCAGAAACGTCGGAACATCCCAGTGGGCCATCACTGGTTGTGTTTTTTTAATCTCAAAGCTCTAATCTGATTAAATGTCACAAGGTGAATCAAGGTGAAGAGTGAGAACTGGCACAGTGCCCTTAAGGACAACAAGGTGAAAGGGTCTGAGGAGCACGCGTCACGGAACCGTGAGAGGATCCAAGCGAGGAAGAAAGAGCAAATAAAAGCCGAGGCCTGTGTGTATTCTCAGTCTGTGTGCAGCTGTGCAGTGACGGAGCAAAGGGAGGAGTGAGAGCAGAGGGGGTCCATTGTGGGTCTTTGTGTGGCTCAGATTGTCTTCTTCTCTGGGAAAGTGGAAACTCAACACTCCTCTCTAGAGGTCTAGTTACCAGGTGAGGGGGGGAGCAGGAGAGAGATAAAGAGGAAGAGAGAAAACAGAGTGAGAGCTAAAGGTGTGGAGGGAAACAACAGGGCAGAGGATGATTTTGGACATCAAAGCTAAAGAGATGGACATCAAACAATGAAGGACAAATATGGAGGAAGAAATGTGAACATGGATGATCAGAAAATAAATGAGATCGTTTAACGACTTTGTTCTGCAGTAAAACATGAAGATAAATACAGAAAAAATCAAACGACGGATTTCACATTTAGGTAAATTATCATAAACACTCTGATTAATAATAATAATAACATTTTATTTTCTTTAACATGCCTGAAAAAAGCTGTAAACTTGTGTTAAAATGGCTCCCCCTGGTGGTCACAGTTGGAACTGTTCGTCATCTGCGTTTGTTTAAACGTCTCAATCTTCAAAATGGTCACTTAAATAAACATAGATAAAACTCTGAAGAAATAAAAAAAATGGAATAAAAGCAATTTGAGAAAAACATGTTTTTTTGATTTAATGTTTTAAAAAATGACAGAGGAGTGAAGATGTATGTGATATGATTGATTTCAGAGATGAAAGCACGGATATGTTAAATAAAACAAACTTTGCATGTTTTGTGTCTGAAAATGTACATTTATTGTCTTAACTGACTTTTTACAAACTGTTTATATAATATATTTATATGTATGTATACAGTTTAGGAACATCGCCTTTAAGGTGGAGGAACAAAGTAAACATACAAGAGGAGGTACAATACAGGAAAAAATAAATAATAATAACTTTTTCAGATATATGCCAAGTTCTGATATATTTTGAGAATGTTAGAACTGATCAAAACACAACCAGACGTAAACGAAACCTTTAAAACAAACTCATGCATCATCTTTTTTTATTTATTTATATTAATTCATCTGAAATCAGCAGTTGAATTTCCCTTAATTCATTTAGTTGCAGGCAGGCTGTGGTGGTCAGCACCAGTTTTAACCCTGAGGCTTCAGGTCTGAGCTCAGGTTAACAGAGGTCGAATCTTAGATGCGAGAAGGGAGCAGCCGAAAGACCAACAGCTAAACCTGGTCACATGTAACAAGACATCCGCCGCTCTTATAGGAAGAAGTTCCTGCTTTAAACCCTGTTTTAATATTTATAAAATCTTGCATTATAACGAAATGATCTTGTTTGCATGAATGTAAATTAAAACGTCAACGTGTCACAGTCCTAGGGTTGATGGAGGAGCTGCAGGGAGGAGAGGGGGGACCATGTGTGTTTGACACGAGTGGGTTTTTTTTGTCCCTTTTTTCCTCCTGATGTCGTCTGGAGTGGATTGTGGAGGCGGCAGCTCTGAGAACAGCTGCTTCTGACAACCGCAGCATGAAACTGTGTGTCACTCGGGGATTGAATGTGTGTGTGTGTGTGGGGGGGCATTCAAAGCGAGACAAAGTATTCATCCAATAGCTGCCTGTTTGAAACACACATAGTGATGAGCAGTAAAGAGATCAGTTAAATTAACCATGAGCTTCCTGCTTGTGTGTCAGAGAAGAAACTAATAACGTTTAACTACTTAAAACACGTCCACTAAATTTTTTATGACTGGCGAATAATTTTTACAAATGCAAGAGGCGGCTCAGACACATCTGTAGCTGTCGGTGCACGTGTGTGTGTGCGTTCGTGTCAGTTGGTAAATATGAGAAGAAGTGTGGCTGCCCCATCACTGTCCACCGTTATAAGCGTAGTCTGCTTTGTTGTGCATGACCAGTCTGCTGTCGACGAAATAGAAGCTGTCCGAGCGCGTTTCGTAAGGACACTCCACCATCTGACGCACTGAAAAACACACAATACGTGCACGTTAATGAGCATAAAAAGCTTTTTTTTTTTTTTACTTTAGGAATATTTAAAAATCGATACAACTGTATACAACCTAAAAGGTTATATACATAGTCAAGTACCGTTGTCCAAATCTTGCACAATTTGTGTTGTAGATGAACATATAACAACAGTTTTAGAGGAACTTTTATTTAAGTTTTTCAGATGAGTTCAAATGAAAATTTAAAGGCTGCTGTTGGACAAACCATAAATAGTAAAATGATAATTCCAAACACAAGACCGTGAAAACAAGAACAATAAAAACTAATTAGGAATCTGATAAGACATAGAATAAAACCAGTAAAATGAAAATGTCACCTCTCATGCCAGTGAATACAAACGTGTTATAAGACTGTAAAAGAGCTAAACTTAAGTCTGTCGGACATCAAGAGACAGCTGGTCCCACACCTACAACTGAACGGGTCCAGTCTGTGGACCTGCCTGGACCTCAGGACACTAAATGCAAATGGTCATTAGACCTAAAGGATCTGGAGGACACTTGAAGCTGCAGGAGATCTGACAGCACGGTGAAGATACGCTCACGCTATTTTTGCTGGAGTTAAAAAACGAGCTGCAGCGTTCTAACTGACTGCAGTCACGAGAGGCCGGGCGTTAAAGTGATGCAGTCGGGACGTCATAAAAGTGTGACTCATCCGTTTACAGCCATTAAAGGTCAAAAACAATTACTCTTTAAATAAAAGTCTTCCTTTTAATAAGGATCTCCTCACTTCAGAACTAATCTGTTAATGAAAGTTAAAATTTGAATCAAATATCACTCTCATTTTTTTTTTTTTTTTTTTTACGTGAAACTTTATAAATGGCTCCAAGCCACCCAGATTTGCAGGAGAAGCGGTGCAGATTCCACTGGGACCAAACCAACTTCAGTTCTGTTCTTACTGAAGAGAAGTTTAGTGAAAAAGCATGATTGTGCTTCAACTATAGGTAAATCTGAGTGTTGTCTGCATAGGAATGAAAAGAAATGGAACATTTTCTATAGATGGAGTATGAGGGGTGCATGTAGATAGAAAATAAAACATGTCCAAGAATAGCTCCTTGGGAACTCCATGTGTGAGCGAGGCTGGAGAAGAAGCAGATTGTCCAGGGCTTACAGAGAAACTCCCATCAGACCGAGGTGAACCAGAGTCTTTGACACAGATCAGAACGCTGCAGTCTCAGGTCTCAAACAACACGAGTCTCCTGAGTGCACAAGAGAATTAAACACTTTTTAAAAGGGCTTCTGAATGGCTTTATAACCAGATTAAACATTGTAAGTGCATTGTGTGCATTTAAATGCCAGCTGTAAAAAATACAATGTTTTTTTAAATTTTTTGCTGAAAAAGGACGTTTTGAAATGGGACTACAATGGAACAGGACAGATAAGGTTAGGTTTGTTGAGCAACGACTGAACAGCTGCATCAACAAAGTCCATGCTCAATAATCCAGGTATAAAATCCAACATTTTTCAGTCAGGTCATCTGGACAGTTTCTTCTTTTGTGCTGAAACGTTTCGCCTTCGATCCAGAAGGCTTCATCAGTCAAGGAAGCACACAACAAAACTGATTCTTCCCACAACAGCTTAATCCAAAGTGGAACAAACCAGTTCTGCTTGTGATAAGATGGTCTCTTTGGTACGCCCCCTCCTCCATTGCCGGCCCTCTTCCTTGTTGACAGTTGTGTCAAAATGGTTGAAAACAACAAAGTCCATGCTCAATAATCCAGGTATAACATCCTGGGTTATACCTATTAAACACACCTATTATATAGGTGTGTTCCTTGACTGATGAAGCCTTCCGGATCGAAGGCGAAACGTTTCAGCACAAAAAAAAGAAACTGTCCAGATGACCCGACTGAGAAATGTTGAACAGCTGCATGTTTCAACCAGTCTGGAAGGACACCTGAACAGAGTCTGATGTGAAACTATAATGTCAGAAACAACTAGAAACGTTCTGTAAAAGGAGTGGGAACAACATTAGGACGGGACTTCTCCGTCTTGTTTGATTTCTGCGGCTGATTAAAACTCGCAGGCTCCATCTGATCAGAGGCAGAACTTGTGAGATGGTTCGAGTGATCAGGATCAGCGAGCTGATGGTAAAAACACAACTCGGCAGCAATTCACAGGTTTCACAGGAGTTGTTCAGATATGTCGCTGTAGATGGACGGTGTTCAGAACAGAGTCAATGGCAGAGCCAAGGATTTATTTTAATCATAATAAAAATAAATTAAAAAAAGCTTTTTCAGCTTTAACACCTGCACGGACTCTCCTAACATCAGTCTTCCTGCACCCTTGTCTGATTCAGACTTGGCGTTGCGTTGCGTTAGTCACGATTATTTTGGGACAAAATTACTGCTAAAGTTATTCTGGATAAGCCAAAACTCCCGGCTTCATTTTCATTCACAATTAACTCTTTGTGTTTTGAGTGCAGTGGTCCAAAAGTACGTTGTGGTAATCACAAGTGGATTTTTTTTGGTTGAAACACGAAACGTTTCAGCACAAACAAACCATCCAGAGGACCTGCGTTGCCCAAGTGGATTCATTCTCTGGAACAGACGTGAGGTATGAACAGGCCTTCAGGATTTAGGAAACAACAATATTTGGCCCATTTAGACCCAGAAATGTGGTAAAGTTTGTTTTTGACAGAATTCAGCATTTTTACACCAGACACTTGGACTTTCCTCCCCAACATGCAGCAGGAAAATGATATTACTATGTAAAAAGAGAGAAAATGATTACAGTCAGTAAACAAACAGGTTTGGTATTTGGGCTGTTGTAAAATCTAAACCACCTGTTTCGTGTCATGCGCTTCATGCAGATAAGGAACGGTCGCAAAACACATAATTAAGATTATAACCAGATGTTTCGTCTAGTAAAAAAATATAGACAAGAAAGCCCTGAAAGTTTTTGTGAATGAGAAACATTGTAACACACTTTGAAGAGCCTGCACGAGCTGTGCACACTAAAATAGGACGGGATTTTCACAAACTGGTCGTGCAAAACGCAGTGGTGTGGCTCACTGGTTACAATCAGTTTCCAACAGTGTCAGCCCAGCAAGCTACCGTTTATAGTTTGTTTCTGATCTTTTGTTTAGTGTTTCAGATTGTCTAATGTGGTTTTATGGCATTTGATGGAGTTTGAATAGTTCAGTTTGTTCACTGGAGATTTTGTAAATGGTAAAGGGACTGTACTTATACAGCATCTTTCTGTCTTATCAAGATACTCAAAGCTTTTTACAACAATCTGTGTCCTCATTTACCCATTCGTACAGCACTCTACTGTATTTACAAAGAATAATCAGAGCTTTTTCACACTCATACACCGATGGGACACACTTCAGAGGCAATGAGGGGTTCAGTGTCTTGCCCAGGGACACTCCAGCATGTGACTGCTGGTGGAATCGAACCCCCAACTCTTGCATTGGACGACTGCTCTACCCATTCAGCCACAGCCGCCCCGTAGTGTTTGTTGTGACAGCCACTGGATGTGCTCAGTTATTCCTGCTTGCAGCTCCTTATACTTCCAGGTTTTGCTCAGTTCTTTGCCAAATCCTCTTGCTGCCTTGTTTTGCTTGTCATGTTTAGTGTGTCTTTGTAATCCTGGTCTTGTTTCAGTCAGCACCTCTGCTTCCATTGTGTCTGAGTTGGGTCCCACCCAAATGTATGGAGGACGGAATGTGACAAAATGAAATAAATAAATACATAATAATGAAATGTATCATTTAAATATTAAATACATCGTTAAATCTTTAAATACACAACTAAATTATTGATTTAATTATTTATTTAATTTTGTCACATTTCACCCTCGTGTGTCACCATGAAATTAATTTATTAATTTATTAACCTTTACTTAACCAGGCAAATCCCATTGAGATCTCTTTTGCAAGGGAGGCCTGGGCCTGAAGGCAGACTAACGTGCATGTTTTTGATCTGTGAGAGGAAACCGGAGTGCCTGGAGAAAACCCACGCAAGCACGAGAAGAACATGCAAACTCCACAATGAAAGAGCCCAGGTCCAACCGGGGATTGAACCCAGGACCTTCTTGCTGTGAGGCAACTGTGCTAACCACTGAGCCATCGTGCTGCTTAAATGATGTTAACTCACTTGTCCAACTCAGTGGGCGGGACTAATGCTGGTCATGTGAAATCCATTGCTCCGGTCTGAAGTCAGTTCATACATGGGAGCTCCCTCCATGCAGCTCGTAAAAGCGCGTCTTCTCCTTTATATTCATGGTATGAAAAAATATTTAACACAAATACATGTAAACACAATTACCGCTTCCTAAAGTTTCGGAATATATTTTCTTGCCTGTGGATCGATCGATTACCACGGTCGATTATCTGCAGTCGATTATCTGCGGTCGATTATCTGCGGTCGATTTAGCTGCGGTCGATTGGTCTTCCCTTGCTGCGAGGAGCAACCAATCAGGCGCCAGGGTCTGTTCACGAGCCGCCCTAGTCCCGCCCACTGAGTTTGACGAGTGAGACTGACAGTTAACGTCATTTCATGGTGTCACTGGAGGACAGAAGGTGACAAAATTAAATAAATAAATAAATCATGAAATAAATTATTTAAAAAGTACATTTCATTATTTAATGGTGTATTTAATAATTCAATTGTATATTTAATGATGTATTTAATAATTAAATGATACATTTAATTGTTATGTTTGTATTTTGCATTTATTTCATTTTGTCACATTCCGTCATCCATACATATATATATATATATATATATATATATATATATATATATATATATATATATATATATATATATATATATAATTTTTATTTATTTATTATTATTATTTATTTATTTATTTATTTATTATTATTTATTTGTTTATTTATTTATTTATTTAAGTACAGTTGTAAAGACCTGAGGTTTTTCAGCATGTAAAAACATTCAGAGACTGATGAATTCTCAGTGTGTAAAGGCCAGGACCACAAACCACAGCTGAATCCAGGCCAGGGTCACCTCTGAGCTCTCAGGCAGCACATCACGACAGTCATCATGGCCACATGGGACAGGAAGTACTTCAGCAAATTATTGTTGCTCAGCACTGTCCTTTACCTTAGCCTGAAATGTAAACTAAAATCTAAATCTGCAAGGATCTTTCTCCTTTGTGCACATAAACGCCACAGAGTTTTCTGTTCACTGTCTCAGAGAGACAGTGCACGTGTTTATTGTAATCAGATCAAACTTCAGCTTCCTTCTGTTAAAAAACTGATGTCATTTTGGAGACATAAAGCCACATTGTTATTGTTTGTACATGAGGTCTACCTCACCTCGATGGGGACAGTCTGCAACATCACGAAAAGGACACTCAGACGACAATAAACACTTTCAGAATCAGATAAAAGCGTTTTTTCCTTCATCTCATTTCATTTATGATTTAGTGCTAAATCAAAGTTCGGCTGATGTTCCGCTGCAGATAGTATGTGGGCAGGATCGACTGTCAGCGCAGCGTGTGTGAAGCCGCTGTAGCACGAGAGACAACTTTCCTCGGTGCGTGTATTTATAACATCATTGATTTAGGAATGTAAGAGAGATATAGGGACTGTGAGTTTTTGACAAGCTTTTAGTGGAGAATACCTTCTGAACTACAGAGCTCCCCTCTGATCAATGAAAGAATGATCTGAACTGTGAATTAGTCAGTAAATATGCTCCTTTATCTATTATTCATGCGCCAAACTTAAATCTGTGCATACAAAACGCCTGTTCATGAAAACAAGACTATAAAGGTTATTTTATTGTCTATATTTGTCATGTTAAATTTGAGTCAGGCCTTTAAATTACTCTAATAAAGAGTATTATTAGGCCTGTCACGATAACAAATTGTGATGGGCGATTAATTGTCTCAGAAATTATTGCGATAAACAATAATATTGTTTGGAATTTGACAATAATTAGTCATTATTTTTAAGTTAGTTAATTTTTGTATGTAGTACCTTTTTTTGACCACTGGATGGCAGTATAAAACTGTTTGAACCAAAGGATGGATAGTGAGGGAGCAGAGTGTCTCTTTATGAAAAATGGGAGGGAGGCCCCTTGACGTGACACGGGCTGTCTCTCATTCCTGTTTTCCGGTTCTCGAAATGACTGACGCTCGGTGTGATTTGAGCTCTTTAGCATAGCATTTTTCACACAAAGCTTTTAATAAATAAAAAAAAATCAGTAAACAAGTTCTCAGCTTCTTTTTGCAGAGAAAAACAACTTTTACACGAAGGTACGGGTTGAATTTTGGAGCTCCGACCAGACGGAGGTTTTTTTCCCGGGGGTCGGCCTGTTAGCTTAGCTCGTAGCTTAGCTTCTCAGTTGCTTTTAACGATCCAAAAACGTGATTTTGGATCGTTAAAACAGATTTTAAAGAGAAAGGGAGGGGTCAGTGAAGAGCGCCGGAGTTGAGCCGTGTAGAAAGAGAGACACAAAGAAACGATAAAGCCGATAAATGAAAATGAGGTCGATAATTTTAATTTATCATGAGATTAATTGATTTACTGTTTATTACAACAGGCCTAAGTATTATAAGTGCATTGCTGCAGAAAGGTTGCTGATTTCACCCACAGATGATGATTCTCTCTGTAACCAATCAGCAGCCTGCGGTGTGTCAGCGTCACCCTGCAGTACCAGCATGGCTAACAGCTCAAGGTATAAAAAGAGGACATTAGAAAACCTGAGCCGTCCTGGTGATGGAAAAGCACCAAAATACTCCTGTGCTAGCGTGATGCATTAAACAGGCATGACTCACCCAGGCTGTCAGAGAGCTGAGGGAACTCGTAGATGTGCTCGCAGGTGTTACGGCTGTTTGGGATACAGAAGCCGAAGTCAAAGTCAAAGCTCTTCAGCAGGTGATCACGGAAATAGTGCCTCTCGATCATGCGAAAGTTGTTCAGAGGTCGGCTCCCGACTGTGAATTCCACCCTGATTAAATAAAGAAGAAAGATGTTACCCCTCTGCGTTCTGTCTGAAATTATAACGTTAATATCTGCACACACAGAATAAGAGTCAGTGAGGGGTGTGGTTGACAGAGGACAATGCTCTCAATTGTTTCCATTGTTTGTCAGTGGAACAGGTGAGTGTATCTTTAGGCGTGTGTGGAAAGTGTGAGTCACTCACGTAGCTCCCACGGTCCTCAGTCGCAGGAAGGCTGGGGTGAACTGGTAGCGCACAAATCGTCCCGAGGTAGCATCTCCCTCTCTGTGCTCCTCGTCGTCATCTGGCACAAGAAATGTCCCATGATTCATTCATGCTGAACGGTGCACGTCGTCAAACCCAGCAACCTGCTGCAAACTTCTATTTGAAGCCGGCAAATTGCAACAAAAATAAAGTGTGCAAACATGCCGTACCTGCATGAGGAGGTTTAGCAATCTCAAACAGAACAGTGCTGGTCTCCAGGTCTCGGATCTTAAAGCGAACAAAGTCAACGTTATAGATGTTGTCCTTGGGTTTACAGAGATACCCTGCAACATGGCAGACAAGAGGGGGAGACGGGAAAAGCATTATTCTCACATCGTGTGACGTCTGATAAAACACAAACAGGCGCCTGTACTGAATCAATGCAAAGCTGAAACTTACAGCTTCATTTCTTAAGCTGCATATATCCACCTTATTCCGGATTTGGCGCCACTACCCATAATTCATAGCGGAAGCCGGTTGTTTACTTCCGCCCGCGATCCCGCGCTGTTGTTTACGTTTGTGGGTTAACACACTTGCTAGCAATTTAATGTTTTTGACACAAAAGTTTCCTTTACCTGAAGTAAATGGCAGCACATCAGAGGTGGATACATTGCAAGGATGTTTTAAAAAGCTGCGAAGATAAGTCGTTAACTGTGTCTCACCCATCATTTCTCACGGACTGGGTAGATGATATGAAATCATGGCCCGGAATTACCTACATCGATATTATTAATTACCTTGTTTTTTCTGAAGGCGTCGATGGCGAGGAATTGCGGAATTATAAAAGCACAGAGGCGTATAATTACCTCCACAGCAACAAAATAGATACAGTTTTGCTCAAGAAACAAGGCGACTTTATCTTTCTGAAAGCAGCTGTTGAGCCGAGCCAGAGCGTTGGTCAAGCTAAACACTTAGCATGGGTCATGCTCAGAGAAAGTGGAGTGGTAGAAACGGTCGGCTGTTCCTGTATCGCCGGATTGGGAAAATCATGCAGTCATGCGGCAGCTATTCTGTGGAAGGTATATCACTTATCTGGATATCAGAATATTTACATCACTGAATCAGAATCACTGAACTGGGCGAAAGCTGTGAGCTTCCTGTCTGCCTGTGTTTACATGTGGAAGCCAGAGCATTGTGCAGCCTGTGATCTACTGTCACAAAAAATTAAACATTAAAAAGGCTGTACAGTATTTTTATATTATTTGTTTTTAAAAAAGTACAGACTGGATGCAAGGCAACCTAACATTTACAGAAAAGGAAAAAATAAATGACAACAGCAGGGATGTAAATAACTTGTTTCATTTTATTAGGAGCAGTGATAGCTGAAGTCTGTTAAATTGTTACAGGTCCAGAATGCTGTGATCAGTGGAAAGACGGGGCTAGCATGTACAGATGAGCAGCGCAGGTGGAATGCTGGGACAGCAAAGAATCTTCAACCCAAACGTCTAAGCATGATAAACTTCAGACACCACAAGGCAGAGCAGCAGTATAACATCAACTCAAGGGCTGCAGACACGATTAGTCTTTATTTTCATAAGTGTTATAAGGACTTGATCTTGTACAGGCATTGTAAATTCATTGTTGTCATCTCCTTCCAGTGCTGACACAAGAGTGTTAAATGTTTCTAACGCTATACCAGTGTACAGCAAAGCGTCTGCGTCATTTTGTAGAAGAAAAAATGCAACTTCATCACACTGAGTCGTCTTGTCCTGGACATCTTTTCTGCCAGACGTGTTGCAGTATTGATGATGATCTTTTAGCGAAGGGTCCTCCCACTGTGTGTGGACTGAGTGCAGATGTGGCCCAGGAGGTTGTGTGGAGACGCTAGCCAGGTCTGGGATGACTGACGGTGAATCTACGGTGCACTCTGAATAACACAAAAATACAAAATCAAATCAGCGTAACACAACCTGTCAAGTGTCACTTACCTTATTACGTTTTAGGAAGGAAATTTGTAATTCCACACTCGTACACACATGATACATCTTAAATGTCAATAGTGCTGTTTTAGTGGGGCTTTAGCCCCCTTAAATTTTCCTAAGCCCCATCAAATTATGCTATAATATCAAAATATTGTGATTAGATTTTAGTTTTTCATCCTTAAAAAAATCAGTTGGAGCTAGGTTGCATTTAAGCTTTTTCTTTAAAGAGTTTAAAAGAAGTTTTTTTTTTCAGCTGTGTCTGTTTCAAATAACCTGCCTCTAATAACTCAACATATTCTTTATTAACAAAATCCCCAGACTTTTACAGCCCTGGGGGCTGAATTTTACCAGGTTGCTAAATAAAAAGCTATTCTCGGACAGTTACATGAAATCATATACATCTCTGCTAGCATGCTACTGATGTTAATTACTAACCACTTTGTCTTTAAGATTTGGATTTGGCTGCCAATCAAGTACTTTCTCTTAGTGATAAAGTATTTTGGAATTAAATTAATAATACACTAACATCCACAATAACACTGCAACCAGCTAGCGCTGATGCTAACACCATCCACAGTATAGTAATTATAACATTACAATTATAACATTAATAATAATATAATTCAGTAAAAGATAAGAGCTAAGCATGATTAAAATGTGAAGCGGGGACAAATCACATTTTCAATTTCACTCACCGGGAACAGATTCGGCCGTTTTGTCGATGTTGCTGGAAGCTGTCTGGCTCACAGTGGTCCGGATGAGCTGCCTTCTTTTCTTTGGTGGGGCCCGGTCATAGCCCAGATAGAGCTCCGGGTCGGGGTGAAGCTCTGTGGGCTTTTTATCAATAAAATGAAAGGAGCAAACATAAACTCTCTTCGGGGGGTATTTGAGTTTTAAAGCTGCCAGCCACGCTCGTTTTCGATCCTCCTTCCTCGGCATGGAGTGCAGTTCGTAACGCGCTGGGCACACACAGGCCTTTCGAAGTTGTTGATGTGCAAAACAATACGTTTCTAGCTCGTCTTTCAGTTTTCTGGAGCTGTTGTGACAGCCAACAACAGCACAAGTTGAACCCGAACTCATATTAGAATTGTTTAAGCCTCCTGCTACAGCACAAATTACTAGAATTTGTCATTAGCAAAAGTGCCTGTCATTAGCAAAAGTGCCTCTCGCTTTAGCTCACCGGAAGTATAAAACCGGGAGGGGGCGGTACCTGTCTGTCATGGCAGCCCACATACGCTCTTGCAGAATAAGGTGGATAGGCCCTGACCTATAAGACTATATGTTTAGATCACAGTGAGGGCCTTGCTTCTGGTTGTATGACATCTACAAAACAATGAAAGGATTCATCACAAAGAGGCATGTCTGGTTAGGAAGGCTCTGTTTAAATATAGACAACAACTGCCTGATGACGTCTTGTTTGTCTCAGCCATCACGTCCACGTGCTTTTGTTTAGTTTCATAAGACTGTTTGACTGAACTTCTTTTTCAAATAACAAGCGGCACCATTTACTAAAAGAGACTCAGACCTCTCGTAGCTAGCTGCAGTCCCAGCACATCCTCCGGAGAGATGTGTCCACTCCTCGTCCGCAGCTCCTCCTCCGTGACGGGCCTGCTGTCCGCCTGGCTCCTCCGAGACTTCAGCCGCTTCAGGACGCCTCCGCCAGGTTTGCGCTCGCGCGCAGGAGCTGCGGCAGAGCCGTGGCCGCCGCCGGCGCAGACATTTTCAGCAACAGGCGCGTCGCTGCGGGCTTTGGCTCCGCTCATGTTCTCCCCCTCTCCTCCGGCTTCCCGGCGGCTCAACCGGAGAGCGTGGCCGCTGTCTCCCCCTTTGATTAAAAAAAAAAAAAAAGAGACAGAGAGAGAGAGAAACCGCTGGAAGAAGAAGGAGAAGCGGAAAAGAAAGATGGCGCTGCAGATGTCGAGAAAACGGTCGGTTAAGCTCGTGTTAGTGTAAGCGCGTGCGGTGCAGTTGCCATGACAACTGGCTCAACGAGCCGGAAGCAACCGTGATTCCACGGAATGTCCACCAGGGGGAGACAAAACAGCCACTCCGCTTAAAGCGCCAGAGACGTTTGTCAACAAATAAATAAATGAAAACTACAAAAGAAAAGTTAGGCTGAAGTTATCGTTGCCTTAAACTCAACATGACTGTTGGAATATGGGGAAGTGTCGCTCTGAGCAGGTAGAAAAATCTAACAAAGTTAAATCAGATTAAAATAAACAAATAAAATTAAATAAAAATAAGTTAAAAAAAATTAGTTTTCATCATTATTTCTTTATGAGTCCGTCCAGAGGACCTCACTTGTTCACATATTAAAAAAAAAAAAAGTTTAGCGAAAATTCAAAGTTTGATTAAATAACGTTTTTGTTCAACAAGTTTAACACTTGAATAAATCAAGAAATAAGAAAAACAACTTTAATAAACAATGGATAAAATATATTTAACAGAGAAGGAAGACTCTGTCCAGATGACCTGATTTAACTTTTAATTGTGATGTGTGTGTCCTTGGGAGTGTGTGTAGCTATAGGTCATCAATTGTGTGCTTTGCCTCAAATTTGCTCTGCCAAATAATCAAAAAACGCATTTCGACTGATTAAAACTATTAAATATACACAAGAATTATAGCAAGTGTGTAAAATTAGTTTATGTTCAACATTTTAAGGATATGCTCTATTTGTCAACAAACTAGGTCAACAAAACCAAAAAAGGTAGATTAAAGATGCAATGAACAATGATTGTGCATAAATGTTATAGTCCTTCTTCCTCAGATTTGCTTTCCTGCTTTAACACACATGAAAGCCACGCAAATAAAGCTTGTAAATGCCCGGGTGTTATGCAAATCTGTGTTTACTGCATGAAAGCTGAAGGGAAGCTGAAAAAGTCCCAGGAAGCCTGGAACATCCATGAAAGCTGCAGGTCCTCTTCCTTCTCTCCCGGGGAGTAAAGAACCTTTTCACCTCTGGAACAACTCGTCCATCCAGTTCAGTGTGCTTCAAAACATCTGTAAAGTTCAAGAACATGGCAAAACTTCTGGGTTTATATTTTTCAAAATAAAAGCTGTATGATTTATTTATTTTTCTTAGCTTTTTGCATCTAACTCAGTGAAGTTTTATGTTGATGTGTGCTAATCTTCACGAAGCTAGAGTTATAAATGCAGCTTGTTCAACCTTTTTTTTTGGTCATCCCTTGTTTTCTCATTCCTGTTCACACCCTTGAAGATTGGAGCTTTACAAATTTAACAAAAGTGCCACTGAAAAATAATTCACATTGAAGTCCTTATTTTAATGCCTTCTTGAGAATTGTACATAGGCAATAGTGTGAAAAAGTTTTAAAGCCTACCGATTCCTTTTGCTTTTTTGTTTCCAAGGTATGGAGCCAGACTTGGATATCATTTATTAAGGGGGTCTTGATCAATACTTTGACAAATCTTTGTGAAGTAGTGTGGGGAAGGTGAGGTGACTTTGGCTTTTTCAGTGATTTATATGCTTCTACCTGCAGCATATGGTTCAGTGGTTACAGAATTAGTTACACTTTATTTATACAGGAAGTCTCATTGAGTCACGAGATCTCATTTTCAAGGGAGACCTGTTTTTGGGAGCAAATGGGAGCACCTTGCTCAGGGGCCCAGAGTGGGGCAAGTGAGGGTGGAGGCAGGTGTGGGTGTTTCACCATTTCCACCCATATTTTGATGCTGGCGGTACCGGGAGTTGAACCTGCGACTTTCCAATCACAGGCCCATTTCCCCCTAACCTCTGCGCCACCACTCCCCAAAACAGCACATGCTTAAAACATTTATTTAGGAAAGTGGACAACTGGAAGACAAAGGGTGAAATTTCATGCTGAAAAATGTAGATAGATAGATAGATAGATAGATAGATAGATAGATAGATAGATAGATAGACAGACAGACAGACAGACAGACAGACAGACAGACAGACAGACAGACAGACAGACAGACAGACAGACAGACAGACAGACAGACAGACAGACAGACAGACAGACAGACAGACAGACAGATAGATAGATAGATAGATAGATAGATAGATAGATAGATAGATAGATAGATAGATAGACAGACAGATAGATAGATAGATAGATAGACAGACAGATATATAGACAGACAGATAGATAGACAGATAGACAGATAGATAGACAGACAGATAGATAGACAGATAGACAGATAGACAGATAGATAGACAGATAGACAGATAGATAGATAGACAGATAGACAGATAGACAGATAGATAGATAGATAGACAGACAGACAGACAGACAGACAGACAGACAGACAGACAGAGAGACAGACAGACAGACAGACAGACAGACAGACAGACAGACAGACAGACAGACAGACAGACAGACAGACAGATAGATAGATAGATAGATAGATAGATAGATAGATAGATAGATAGATAGATCAGTGATCGCTCATGTGCTTCTCCTGTCTTATATTTTGAAGGTGTCCTACGTCACTTCCTGTTTGGTGACGTCTCCCTCGGTACTTTGACTCCGGAGCGGCGCTGGTTGAACCTGAGGGGCAGAGGGAGTGTCTGCCGGGGATGGGTGGAGGTGTAACACCGGGCTGACGTCTTGTTGTGGTGAATGACCTAAAAGACGACAGAAAGCACCGTCCGACATCAGCTCAGCGGGAGACACGACGCAAAGCCCAGGAGCTGCGTTGCTTCTTCCAACTTCTTCTTCCCTCCCGTCGTCCTCCCGCATGCCCGAGTGAAAACGCGAGGTAAACGATGCAAAATAATCTCTGTTATTTACATCAAAGTGCGTGGGAAACGTGGCAGGTGCGCATCTTTACGGGTTGCAGTGATTCAGGATAAATAATGCTCACACACACATACGTGTAACTTTTGTTAAACCACTGATTCATGTTTCCGGTTCAACGGCTGAGAGTTCATCACAGCAACATGTTTATTAGTAACCTATTAACCTGTAATTGAGACTTATTGCGCGTGTCTTAGCCCTTTAATGTAAATTATAGCTCGGACCTGAGTCGAAACTGACTGAACAAAGGACCATAAACAAAAAGTACCAGAGGTGCAAACACTTGGCAGAATAATGGGCCATTAAAGAGCTGCTGAAACATTTAACAATGGACCGCTGAAGAATGGCACCTTGTTGAGAAATGATCAAGTTGTAGCCGCTTTCATTAAACCAACCTGAGATGTCGACCTCAGCCCTTTTGTTGGGAGCGACTCTCAGCTACTACCACATCTAACCTGAGCCCGGCGTATGCAGAACTGACTGGGTTACAGCCATTTTGGTGTTCTCTAAGGTCAGGTGGATATCCTGAATCGAGTTGTAAAGATACATCTGATGGTTATTTCATGACATTTTGATTAAAGTCGGTCTTTATGTTCATGAGATATTTAGTTGGTTAGAAACAGCTCATGGCTAAAGAACTAAACAAACAGCTTCTGTTAGCGCACAAAGTTTTTATTGGGGATTAATCTGAGCTGCTATCGCACCACATATTAGGTCAAAACATGAAGTTGACTGACTTGTAGCCATTTAACAGCCATGGCTGTCACATTAATCCAACTTTTTTTTAAAAAAAAGCACATTTTAAGATCAGTTCATTGTGCCATCTTGAATCAAGTCGACCCCAAAAGTTAATCAGTTGTAGCTTCATCAAGATGAATCCAGTGGTTCACGCAGACTGTTCGACGGCGGCGGCAGTCTGTAGTTCAGCTGTTATCTGCGGGGCAGTGTTTGTTTTTTAGGAATCCATCTGTAAGACAAAAAACAAGGAAGAAGCGAGGTGGCAGCTTTATCCCAGGCTGATCCCGTTACACAATACCATGCACACCCAGAGGTGTTTTGTGCTCAAGCAGCAGCGTAACAACACTTCTTACATGCAACATATCACGGTGTTCAACACGCAGTCTGCTGTTTGAAACCCAAACAGCTAATGTCTGCGTGCTGACAACACAGGAGTGAAGCTGCGAGTGTTTCATTGTATCCGACTGCAGGGGTGTGGAGTTACTGGTTTGTTCAAAAGCTCTTACAGGCACAACCAGATGCTCCACACTCATACCTGTGGTACGAATCGTAACAGATACAGAAAAAGACATCTGTTTCTCGTGCGGGGTCCGGTTGACCCTCCACCTTCAAAGCGCTCAGTGTCTCGACACAGTTGCACTTTTGTTTGTCCCGTAGTGTTTTTAGTTAAGATTTGTGCTTCGACGGTGTCACTTTTATATATTGAACTATAGAAACATGTGATGACTCATCAGACCTGCTCCAGTTTCTGACAGCGGCTCCCGAGGGCCTGTTTTCATTTTTCTTTTGTTAAAAAAAAATGTGCCACGAAAAATGACAAAACTCAAGTGCAGCCGGCTTCTGAGAACTCTTTGAGTTTCATTAGTTGTAAAATATTTGCCGGTGAACACACCGTCTTGAGTCCAGTTAATGTCGTGTTGCCTTTTTATTGTGAATAATCACAGGATACAATCTGATTGTAAAGGTACGACACAAAGTTGGTTTCACAAGATTAAACAAAAATGATTTAAAATGAATTCATATATCCATTTATTACTTTGACCTGCTTTTTCTCTCGCCTGAGTCACATGGAGCAGGTCAGGTCGGTCGCAAGTCCAGAACAGAGACACGTAGAGACTCACGAGACAATCGCTCACTCATACCTAGAGACAATTAAGGGCTGAATTAATCTGTTTGTTGCCCAATTAAAACAGTTTTAATACGTTTTAACTTCTTGTTCTTCGTGTAGTTCAGATTGTTTGATCACCTTTCTGTACTAAAATCCCTCAGAAGCTGTTTGTAACACAGAGATGCACCTCCAGGTCGAATAATGATGTTTTAGATCTTGACTTTAACGAACTGGCCTAACTTTTAAATTTTTAGTGACGATTCCAGTAACGTTCTGTCTAGTCTTGAAAAAAAAACTAACAAATGATTGAAAAGTGAGCAGGAAAATGAGTTAGTGTTTATTTGATTCTCTTCCGCAGAAAAATGGCTTTAAAAAAATCTGGACCAACCAGACTTTTCCAGTCCTGTTTGTTGCAACATAACCAGTTAGCGTCTCCTTGATTGAGACTGAAAGCTTCTTCGTTTGAATAGGTAGATGGCCGTGAAGTAAATCTTCTCTATTTGTTTTTTGTTCTCAGGGATTTAAGCTATGGAGAGCTCAGTTGAGGCTTCCCAGAGCGGAGGCCCCCCAAAACTGAAGCCAAGTCTGGGCCCTAAACCTCGGCTCGCTCCCAAGCCCTTCTCTCTGCAGAAAAGCACAGCGGTCCGCTCCATCAATGCTCCAAAAACTGTGCACGCCACGATCAAGTCGAAAACAGACGCAGCAGAAAAGCTGGTGGCTGCAGGTGGCCCCAAATTTCCTCTGACCGCCCCTGTTCAGATTTCTCCTCAGCCAACCACACCAGCCTCACCCAGCATCGTTGGAGTTTCCACCAAAGCCCAACCTACACCAAGCGACGCAAGTGAAGCACCGCCACACAAGGACGGTGCTGACGCTGGTCCAGCCACTAAAACCACTCCACCTAAAGAGACGCCTGAGTTCGAACCTGTTCAGAAGGACAATGTTGTCCAAACAAACCACAGAACATCCGCTGGAACAGTGACTAACTCAGAGCAGGACAACGTAGAAAAGGAGGATGAAACTCGGGTTTCCGTTTCCCAAAAGCCTAAAGATTCAAGCAGCGAAAGTCCCACAGCGACCAATTCTGAGTATCACTGGGGGGGCTCCAGAAAGCGCCTGTCCATGGAGCTCACCTCAAAGTTTGAGTCAGGCGGTCCGCTGCCGCCTCCTCAACCTGTGCAGAGCATCCCTAAAACTCCCCAAAAAAGTGTTCCAGATAAACCAGCGTCTCCCGTTCCCGAGCAGAGCCGAGCAGCGCCGGAGCCCTCAAACAGAGAGAGCGACGCTGGCGAACAAGGCGAGGATTACAGCGCAGGAAACAGCATCAAACTCAGAATCAGTCGCCTGTTTGACTCCGTGTCGAAGCCCGAGGTCACGACGAAAAGAGAGGAGCTCGAAATTCCAAACGGCATCGGAGGCGTGAAGGAGCAGATCAAGAACTGGGCTGCGGAGACGGGTTCTGAGAGTCCAACGATTGAGAAGAAGCCTCAGGGTGCACAGAGGATCGGTTCCAAAAGGTGAGGGAGACATCTTTCATTTGTTCTGCTTGTGTTTGGGTACAAGACTGGACACGATTAGACGAGCAACGAGTTTTTCTGTCAGATGTATTAAAGTATGAAGTTTAGTTTAAAGCTGTAACTGATTAACTTTTAACAGCCAGTCTCATTTAAACTTAATTTTATCAACATCATTTTGTACTGATTCACGATGATTCATGAACCTGCAGGTAGTGTTGTGTCATGTTTGCTCATTTCTGTCCTCAGATGGTGCACACATTTGATCACAACAAGGAGCGACTTTCACATTTATATGTCTTAAAGTATAAATAAAAGTACACATAGACCATCAAATCTGCGTGCAAGGAGTTGGTTCAGCATTTTGAGCCTCTCAGGCATGTAACCACTGGCAGGTAGTTTGATTTATTTGCCTAGACTTTCAGATATTCATCTTTGAAAGGTTTTTGCTCCTGTTCCAAAAGACGTCTGTAGAGTTTTGTTTGTGTTGTTCACGGCCCAGAACGTAAAGTTTCCAACATATCCTGATGCCTGCTCAAAGTAAAGTAAAGTTTCCAAC